GGGGACTCCCCAAGGTTGCCTTCCTTCTCTCTACATCCTTGTTTGGAATTCCTGCCTACCTGTATTTTGCCTGCCAATTGGCTGAAACAAATTTATTCATCAACCAAAGAAAGCAACGAATATTTGCAGCATAAGGACATCCCATCCCACATCACACAATTGGTGTGAATCCACATTTTTTCCCATTTCTTTAGCTGCGGTGGGAGAATTCTTGACTTATCATAAATTCTTTCAGTCTTAGTTCCTCCTCTGGTCCAAACTCCAACAAGGAAAATTATCCATCACATTATGAAATCTTTTCATACCTTTTTTCATTAAAATGCATATAAAATGCTGGTCAAAATGCCATTTTTGTAAACACTTATTGTTATGCATTTTAACTCATTCAATCATCACAATGATCTAAGGAGGTTTGTAGAGCTATGGTCATCATTTGTGGAGACAGAGAAGCTATTCCCTCCAAGGAAGGACAGTTGTTAAAGAGGCTGTATCTTGTTTGACCTAAGATCACTACAATTGGGCTCTCAAATCCTTGCTGTTATGGGGGTTCAACTGAATAGCATTAATTGTACAATGACAAGCAGTCACTTTATTTACTGCTGGTCACAGGGCTTTCCATCAGCCAATGGGATAAAACATAATTGTGTATTAATATTTGTGATGTACCCTTATCTCAGAGATATGTCTGCTTTGCCTTCAAGCTCTTAATTCTACATCCAATGTAGAAAAGACAATGACCATAACACTGAATCACTGGTTCCTGGATTTAGTCCATGTTCAGACTACCTTCTGAACACTTCAAATCCATTATTTATTGCTCCCTTTGGGTGCAGATGCCTTTGGCTTTAGGGATTAGCCCCCTTTCTTCACTGTGCTCATTTGAAGACTGATAATGTGCTTTTCTTCATGAAATGTGATCTCTGCATAGTGCTCTGTGTCTGGTTTTTATTATCCTGCATCTTCCCATAAAAGGCCCCATACATATCCAGATGCCCAGGAAACCCTAAGCTCCTTTGACACTCCCAGGTCTGCCCTATCTAAGAAGGGTGTGAGAAAATTTGGGCATTTCCTATGTTTGACATATGACTCAGGGAAATGGGTTTTCTAGTATCCATAACACCTCTGATTCTCTCATTTGCAGCAATCTCCAGCATGATTGGGAATGATTTTCAATTCACATGTTTCTCTTTGATTAGTAATTCTATCACATGTAAACCATCACATATTTGTATGGCACATCAAGTTCTCCCTGAAGAGAAACCAGTATGTTTAGATCAAATGACCATATGCATATCTCAGAGATATTTCAACATCTGGCCCCACTTTACAAAAGCCAAGTTTCACAAGTTAGAACCAGAAAGAATGCATTTGAAAACACAAGGCCATGGACATCTACAAGAAAACCACATCAATGGGAACATTAAAATTTATGCTCATGTAAACATTAAGAATGTGACAAATTGCTAATTTCCTATGAAGGATCATAACTTTCCAACTGAGAACTCTGGGCTGAGGGGAGACACGAGAGTAGAAACAGAAATGCTCCTCCCTAGCCTCAGAAACAGCTCCAGTTGCCTGCATTTTGATTTAAAATTTTGATGTTGCATGTGACTCAGAAGTTATCATTGGTCTTCCCAACTATTGTCCTCACTGAGGGTCACTGTCGCTTACATAGAGGTTACAGGTCCCAACACACATGGGAAGGGGAAAAGCCTGTGAAGGAAGTTAGAATTATCTAACTGAAATCTACAGTTATCAGTAAGATTCCATGTGTGACCTCAGAGAAAGAGCAGATTGTAACCATAAAGTAATTAGAGTTCCCCCAGGAAAGCTGTGAGAGTGTCTGGGAATGTAATGGCACACAGAGAGAAGAGCCACAAGGGACCTTGAATCTCTTATCTTAAACCCATTACACGTCCCTTTCTGGGATTATCCTTATATAATGTTTCGGTTCAAAATCTGGATCTATTCCAAATTCCTGCTTGTGAATTAGACAGTGAATTCACTACTTCCATCAGAATGTCACATTCTCTGTTTATAAAATAATGATACATTTTAACTTTTTCCTAGTCTGAAGATAGTTTCTGGTGTTGGTACTTTCCAGACAGATTTTTTTTAACATCTTAAAAGCTGTGTTTACTAGTATATTAATATTTGGTTGTTAAAATGGGATATATATATATACATATATATGAAATATAAACAACGGCTGTAGTTCTGTAAAAAGCAAAGATATCAGGATTTCTTAAAGAAATAGATAGTTCTAACTCTGACCAAGAAATGGGGAGATGAGCCCAAAATGCCTTGCCCCACTTAATAATAAGGAAGTTACAAAGATTATTATAGTCATGTCAAGAAGTCTCAGAAACCAAAGCAAAGAGCTTTTTGTCAAAAAGCCAAAATAAATTATACATCAATAAGGATAAGAACTGTATTAGACTATATTTTAATTTCATAAGGAAAATATTTCCTCATTGTTGAATGGTAGGAGAAAGCTAACTCACTTTGAAATCTGGTTTAAAAAGTAAGAAATATTTATACCACAATTGTGTGTACATTCACAATATTAAAATATGTGATATATATATATATAATATATATATGTTCTCTCTCACACATGCACACAAATGCACACACATATATGTGTACACACCTGCATTGGTACCCATGCACACACACACATACACACACACACATACTGAATGCCCTGGCAACTAAACAATAAATTTCTCCTTAACTAACATGTGAAGAAATATTGATAGCTCTAGATTATCATCCATTTCAATATTTTAACAAACCAAAAATCAACTTGAGCATCATCACAGAGACACACCTGTGTATACTTCCTGTTGAAAGCATGTAGTATTACTTATGAAGTAGTAGTTTCTCCCCGACAAAAGACTAAGTTTTGTCAAGTGGCCTGATGTCATCACTAGCTTACAGAAATACAGGAGATAGAGAAGTATGGTAAGGTATACCTTGGGTGTGCAAACAACAAAACTCAAACCATATAAAATTCAATAAGATCAATAGAAATAACTATACAATATTTCAAAAAACAGAAAAATGATGAGGTTGGAGGGGGAATCTACAGATTTTAATTGTGGCACAAGCTCTATCAACTGACCACAATCTGCGGACCTTTTCTGGATCCTAGTTCAAATAACATTTTTTGGTGCAATTAGAAATTTAAACACTGATTAATACATTCTTGTTAAATTTTAAAGATGAGGATGACATTATAGATACATTAGTAAATGTAATTTTCTTTCAAGATACATGCTAGTATATTGATAGATGAATGATAACCCTGATAGTTTCTTACTAATTGCCTGGGCAAGTAAAGGAGAGTATGTGTGTAAGATTTGAGTGTTGTTTCAAGGTTTGAGAGTCCTGGTAATGGAGTTAATTTTCCAAATTTGTCTTTGTTTGTCAATGTTGGAAAGTTTGAAAGAAAGCCAAAGAACACATTTGTAGTCTACTCCCAGTGACTTTAATAATTCAAGAGAAGTGATCTATCAAATGATTTTTTAAATTTGTCATAAATTCTTGAGTTTCAAAATATTTTTCTAGTTTCTAGTATTTTCATTTTTTCTAGGAAAAATACAAAGTATAAGGAACAAAATGTTTTAATTGATATAAATAAATACTTATTTAATTAATTTAAGTCAAAAATGTCACCTATATTCACTAGGACTTCTGGCCATTGAGTAGAAAGTCATTTCATACAATAAAATTATATTAGTTTATTTAAATCCATCATTATTTTAATACAATGGAAGTTTATGAGATTGAAGCTTTTCCTTTCCTCCACTGCTCTGCCTAACTCTCTAATAAGCCCTTTACCCAAACTTAAGAAAGAAAAGAGAAGAAATTTATTGTACCAATACCAACCACAACTCTGTTAAAGGCCAAAAGGTTCAGATAGGAAACCATAGCTCCTTATTTTTAATAATGCATAACCTACTTTTCAATCCAGAATATAAAATTATATTTTTTTCCATTTGAGCACTCTTGGATATTCACATTGATTTACCTGTGAACAAATAGACCACCCATTCACACCTTGATATTCATTTTTCAATGTTAAATGCTGTTTTCAATATATTTGTTTTAGCTACATCAGTGGGTTGAAACCCCATTGGGTTGGAACGACCCTTTCACAGAGGTCACATATCAGCTTGTGTATCAGATATTCACATTATGATTCACAGCAGTATCAAAATTGCAGTAATGGAGTATCAGCCATTATAATTTTATGGCTGGAAGTCAGCATAGCATGAGGAACTGCATTAAAGGGTCGAAACATTAGGAAGGTTGACAACCACTGGTCTACATCAACAGACATTCAAGCAAAATACACTCTGCTAGACACAAAGCCTGTTGTTTGAAAGGGTGGGTCGATGACACATCAAAATACTGACTTCAAAATACTGACTTCAAAATACTAATACACAGTCATCAGCTTTGCTAAATCCTATGATTAAATACTTGCTGCTTCTCCTAGAGTGTTTCAAGACCCATTCTTTTTTTCCTGGGGGCTCTGAAAATGGTTCTCTCATATATTTATCATCCCACCACCCATAAGTCAGTCAGTCACCTGTTTCAAACCCAGATGTCATGGGAGGGAACCAGAAGCCAGACTGAAGCAAACTGTTTTCCTTGGAGTCCTTAAACCAGAGATTGCTGATTGACATATAACTAAGAATAATCACCCTTTAATTAAGGGATATTTTCCCCTGTGTTTAGTCTCCCAACAATATGAAAACATTTGGGAAATGTTTATCTTCAAAGAACTTGAGTACACTTTTTTTTTGAGTCATTGGCTCATTTTCAGTTCCCGAAACAACCAAAGAGAGACAAACAAATCCAAACAGTTAAATGGAAAATGTCTTTTCCTCCTCATCCTCTAGCTCTATGTAAATCTGTTCTTGGTTATGATATTTATCTCAAGTTCCTCTTTCTTGTACAAAACTGATAATTAAAAGAAAAATACTTACCCAGAACAAGAAGTTGAAGAAAAACATAGAATATTTTAAACAGCCACTCACACCTGCCATTTCGGAGAAGGAACAGCCACCCAAGTACTGTGGAATGAAGTAGTTCTTACAGGGCTATCACTCAGTAGGCTCTGGGGGATTTTGCCTGCAGAGTTCCTTGTGCCTGCAGCTTCAGGGCAGAAATGGAGAGCAAAGAAAAGGAAGTAGACTGAAGAAAAAAATCCAGTTATTAGAGTGGATAAAAATTTAACCCACACATTTAAATATCCCAAACGTTATCTTCAGGCGAGTGTGTTCTTTTCGCTTGTTATGGCTGCTAGGGCATTGGGCCAGTGTATTTATGATCTCTTCTCAAAACCCGCTCCCTCTCGAGTAAACAAATATCAGGTTAAGGGTGTGACTGGAGCAGAGGTGGAGAGAGGTACAGCAAGATAGCAGCTGGGGGGTGGGAGGCTTCTGAAGGCACAACCTGGCATTGCTGACCTCTGTTTTAAACACTGGGATATAGGCTGTTAGGCTCCCACGTAAATAGACCTGTGTCTCGTTTCATTTTGCATTACGTTTTAAAAAGAGCATGAAGTTTCTTTCCAAGGCAGCAATGGGTGTTTAGAAACCTGCAAAGCCTTCAGGTTTAGTTACAGCAACCTTTCTTCCATTGGTCAGTGCTTCCTTTCCACTCTGTGTGTCATAAGTTAGTCTGTTAATTTGTTAGTTGCTTTCCTTCCAAACAAATCAAGAGGGGAAGCTCCCTTAAATACCTGTCACTTTCAAGAACTGAAGGGGAGGTGGCCTTGCCTATTAGGGTAAGACCACTCAGGGTTTATCTTTACCTCTTTGTGTGAAAAGGAAAAAAAAAAAAAAGAAGAAGAAGAAGGAAGAAACTCTGGGGAGCTGCTCCTGACTGCCCCTATTGTGTTCAGTTTATAACACAGTTGCCAGGTTTGATAGCCTGGTTTGTTTTTAAGGTGAACTCTGTGGTTTCATTCTTCTGAGAAATGACCTAGAGCAACAATTCCACTCTAAGTCAGTTTCTGGGTTCTGGGCAGTTGACAAAAAAAAAAAAAAAAAAAAATCCCACAGGGACCTGCTTGTGAACTCATGAAAGCAGCCCATTCAGCTGTTTCTGGGGCTAAGGGATGGAGCCTTCCCCAGGTATTAACTCAGGGTCCTGTGATCTACTGAGGAGGTAGGTTGCTCTGAGGAAACAATCTGGGTTTTGGGTATTTTCATGTCCTGCCTCTCAGAGGAAGTTCCTCGGCCCCTAAATAAAACATCCCACATTTACTAGAAAGATAATTCCTTAAAAATCTTTATTAAATACAATGTAACAAGTGACTGGGATCTTATCCTTATCTCACTAAAATATCTTTCTGATTTTCACTAACATAGACTATACTCTGTAGCTATAAAAAAATAATTTTGGTGCATTGTTAGCTCTAATATTTAGTGTAACAGATCAAATTTAGGAATAGTTCCCTAAAGAATACCAAACCAGAAGCTCATCAATTACTAGGACAATGCACTTTGTAATTCTGTCTCTACCCACCCCAGTACAGTAGCTACGAAGGAAGGTGTTCTACCTCACTACATTTTTACTTGGGAGCTGGAGAACCAAAGTCAGGTCTCCATGCTTCTGCTACAGGCACTGTATAAGCTGAGCCACCATCTCCCCAGCCCTGTGACCATTATGATCTGAACAAACCTCTACACCCTCTTATATTCATTTATTCATGTTTCTCTCCTACTTGGCCCTTTCTGCCAGAAAAGAAGAGACCCTGCCCCGTTACCCTTTGTAGTCATAACATATAATATCAGAGATAAAGGGGAATGGACCTGCATTCCACATGCCCAGAAAGTTCAATTAGTGACTCCTTCACTGAGCTCCCTAGGGAACTATGAGTGTTATCCAAAACATCAAGCACATTTCTCCATTTCAAACCTTCCTGGGACATTTAACTTCCAAATATTCATGCTTTCTAATATTCATGCAGCAACACACAAATGAACACAGCCATAGAATACCATTCCAGAAAGATATCTAGAACCACGGTCACAGATTTAGATATATGGTCAGAAACTTGGATCTACACAAAAGCTCAAACTTGATACTTCAAGGAAGTGTCGCTCCGTTCACAAAACTGGCTTGTGACGGAGTCCTTTCTGGAAACAAAACCAAGTGATGACTGGCAGATTTGAATTCTGTCCACTGACATTAACTGTTGAGTTTTGAAGTTCGAGTCATTTATTACCTTAATTGCTGTGGATTTCGTAGCAGGAGTAGGGTGGAGTAGGGTGGGTGAGGTGAGGTGGGGTTGGAAGTGTCAGTCATAAGTCTTAACCATTACAAAAGATCAAACCAAGAAAGAGAAGCAAAGGCAAGTGGGATATAGTAAGGGCAGATGACAACTGGGAAAGGGCAGGAAGTCCAAATAAATTTAGATATCATTTCCCCAATATTGCTATCATGCCAATTCCTATTACTCATAGTGAAACACATAGGGTAAATAAAGGTGGAGGGAATTTGTATGTGACTAATCATGAAAACCCTCCATGGCACAGTCACTACTGAGTCAGGTTTGCTGACACCATGGGAATCCTGGCAGGGGAGAAAGGAAGATTTCTTATGCTCAGGGTGTTGGGAAGGGGATGAGTAAGAGCATCGGGGTCCTTATACTTAATATAGCATTTCCTGTAGCTATCAGATTTCCATCTGGAAACTACTGAGACATGAATGTGTTCACAAAAGCTCACATGGTAGAAACCTAATATCCAACACAACAGTGCTCAGAGGTGGAGCCTGTCATAGGTGATTAGGTTATGAGGGATTTACAGTGTTGTAGTGGGAATGGGTTCCTGTTTTAAAATATTTATTTATTTATTTATTTATTTATTTATTATGTATACAGTGTTCTGTCTCCAGGCCAGAAGAGGGCACCAGATCTCATTACAGATGGTTGTGAGCCATCATGTGATTGCTGGTATTTGAACTCCGGACCTTTGGAATAACAGCTAATGTTCTTAGCCACTGAGCCATCTCTCCATCTTGGGAGTGGGTTCTTACATTGAGAATTTTTTTTTTGTAGAAGTGTGGTCTGCCATTCCCATATCCTTTCCTCCATAGCATAATCTCCCCCAATCCCTGCTTCTCTCCTCCTTCTTTCTCTCTGTCTTTCTGTCTGTCTTTCTGTCTCTCTGTCTCTCTGTCTCTGTCTCTCTCTGTCTCTCTCTCACACACACACACCACATGTGTGCATATACACATATACTCTCCTGAGTTTCCACCATCTGCCATGAAGTATTGCAAAATGAAGGCATTCATCCTTACAACTTCTTGGACTTGAATTTCCTAAACTGCCAAACCGTAAGAAAGAAGTCTCTCTTCCTCAAGACTTACTCATTCTGGAATATTCTGTTTTAGCAGCATAAGACAAGTGCAGATAGGACTTCCTGAGAAAGTAGTCATAACAATTACATCACCGTGATAGTCTCTTCTCCTTTACAGGACATATTCCAAAACTCCATCCCTCAAACTATATCCAGGGTACCCTACTAATTTGGAACATAGCAGTTTACAAACCAAGATTTAAAATAACCATTTTCAAAAGATTTATAGGAAGAAGACAGCTTCCTCTTTATATTTATACTTTCAAAATCCAGGAATCCAAAATGTAATTGTCATTGGAGTAGCTATTAGAAACCAGATGACGCCGGGTGGTGGTGGCACACCCAGCACTAGGGAGGCAGAGGCAGGCAGATCTCTATGAGTTCAAAGCCAGCCTGGTCTACAGAGTGAGTTCCAGGACAGCTAGGACTGTTACACAGAGAAACCCTGTCTCAAAAAACCAAACCCAAACAAAACAAAATAAAAAACCAAATGTCATATTGGGGGGGGGGCAAAGGAACGTTCCTATATTGTCATCCAGAATTTTATGACACTATCATGCTGATATGCACATATCACATTGTGAATAATGATTTCATTTTCTCAAAGATTAATATCAGTGGTGAGAAGATGGTGTTGTAAGGTTGTGATGACTGTACTTAGAAGCCGATGTGTGAGGGCATCATGTCACAAATCTTAAATAACTCAAGTGAAAAGAAAGTTCTCTATTCTCATTTGGAACCTCTACCCCTGTCCTTTGGGGAAAGCTAAGGGGTGGGGATTCCACTTTGTGATCCTCTAATCCAGATGCTGCCTGCCTGAGTGTCCTTCAGCTCTTGCTTCCTTCCCTGTATGCTCACACAGCCAGCCAGCTCATGAAAGCTCTCCTGTGTTCCCACTGGGCAGTATCTGATATGAGGACAGCCCCTGCCCCACTCTTTTGTAACACATTTTAAACAGAAAGCTGTACTGTACCAATTACAACTCAGAATTAAATGTAGTTTACAATTATAAATACCAATATCCTCTATAAGTATTTTGATTTTTAAAATACTCATGGTTTGTTCCTGGACATAAGATTTCCCTTAAGCATAAGAGAAAACACGAAAGTGTGTGTGTGACAAAAATAGAATTCAGATCACTTAAATCTGTTGGTAAATGATTATAACTAAAACTTGAGGCACAGCGGGTGCCGTGGCTGAAAGTGAAACCAGAACATGGTGGACTTGAGATGCCTGTAAATTCTTCCCTGGTGTCTCTACCACCATATACTGCTGCATACTCCTTTGATGAAAGCTGAGAAAAAAGCCAGATGCTGGCTGGGAGCCCCTTTGGTAGCCCTTAAAGATCAGCTTTGCCAGCCTTTCCGGGGGTGAACTAATTGTTAAGAGATTCACCGTAAATGACTGAAGTGCCATTTTCTTTAATTTATAATGAGAAATATATCTATCATCTATCTATAAACAAGACAGTAGCTGTTCAGAAAATCTTCTCCCTATAAAACAAAGTACAAGACTCAAAGCATTGATGATGTCTTGGTGTGGATTCAGTAAAATAATCAGTATCTGTGTTGCCAAAGTTTGCTAGGCTCCTGAGCCTAGAACTCCTGGGATCCAGTCGATCAGTCAGACCCTCCAGATGGGACTCTCAGTGTTCTCAGCATACTCACCAGGAATGTTACTGCGACCTGTCATCAGCTTTTTCTTTTCAAGTATGCCTTTTCTCTATCTAGATTGCCAGCAACCTCCAGACCAGGATTCTTTATTAGGTTTCTCTCTGCTGGATTGTCATTACAACTCTGTCTT